GACTTTAACTTCTTAAGCCATGGAACTGGAAGTGACCCATAGAGTACTGTAGTCCTAACCACCTAGGCAGAGGCAGAGTCCTACCCTAACCCTGAGCCTGCAGAAGACTTACTGGGTTTAGCAGAAGTAGAGGGGAGTGGCTGAGAGGGCCCATTCTGTACCCCTAAGGCTCCATGGAGACTTAATACTACTGCATACATAGGAAGCAACATTTTTCCAAATGGCCTGGGCAAGTTGCTCCTTTGTGATAAAGCTCTGTACCTTTGAAAAAAATGCTAGTGCTATTTTTTGAAGAAGGACACAACAACTACAACCCAAGCAACAGAGTATTTGAATATAAGGCCATTTAGTCCCATTAACTTCACTAGCATTGAGCTGGTTTAAATTCAAGAAGTAATTCTGGACTGATTTGTAGATTGAATGGTATGGCATGCCTGTAACCCTCCAAACTTGAAGGACTATGGGTATCCTATGGAAGGCAGGAGGGACACGAAGGCAAAGGTGACTTCTGTCACTCTACAATACACCAATTAGACTGCCAATTCTAGCCATCTTAAGAATGGAAGGTTGGAGTGGGAGGGAAGCAGGCTGGAGTGGCACCAGGATGCATTGTAGATTGGTGCAGTAGTTTCCCCTTTTCTCTGCTCCTTAGAACGGCCCCAAAAGCCCTTCTCCAGGACGTCTCTTACAGCATCAAAGCAGCCAGTGCAATTCTTTCCACTCTGGTTGTGGAGGGGTGGATTGGAATCCAAGCACAGATCCTCAGTGGAGTGATTTTCATCCTTATAGCTATGATCGAAACCATGCTGTGGCCACGTAGATACTCCTTAGCAGCCCTGCAGTTGCCCAACACTTAGAATGCTGTAGGGACAAGTCCAGTCAGTTCCACGCTTTAAAACTGATGGGACTGCAAAGTGCTCAGCTTTTTTTTTTTAAATTGCATCCCATATAACTACCTAACTGGCAAAGCTATTTGGTGCACAGAACGGATTCTGAGCCACAGTGCAGCTCGCTGACAGCCTGTTAGAATATTGTGGCTGTTGATGAGGAAACGCCTCACCTGCTCCCAGCACACACGGGCTGTGCACAGAGAGAGAGCGCATGTGCATATGCATGCGCAACTGGAACTCCCTTCTGACAGGGAACCCAAGATTAAGGGAAAAGATTTCTTTCACATAATGCTGTTGCTTTCAAACCTATCATAGATTTTTTTTAAAGATTGACTTAGCTGGGCTCAATATTTCTGTCTAGTTTCATTCAGTAGTTACTGTTCTGCCATGACCACTCTTCTTTGTGCTGAGATTAATTATAATCTGACAGTTCTTCATATAAACTGACATTAGCAAACAGAACTGTAGAATTTCTTTGTTCACATTAACTAAATCCCGTTCTTAAAATTGTGAGTTATATATTCTGGTTTTTTTAGGGTTTATATTTGGCTCCTTGGTAAATTGATAATAGCCTGTTGGTATGTTCTTACAATTCTCCTTGAGGGGAAAAAATTAAAAACAAAAGGGTTGTATATTTTTAAAGGCACATAATAGCCTACCAAGAGAAAAATATTTACATCTGGCATGATCAAAAGTCTTCTGGTGTACAAATGCGCATGTGGGAGGTCCTGTTCTACATTAAATGGATTAACAAAAATGACTCAAAACACTGCAGTTCCTACCTTTGATAAAAATGTTCTTCCTGAAGCTTAAAATACCTTCTTCTTTTTTTAAAGTAATCTTTCATTGTTTTTAATTGAAGTGTGTGGTATCCATCCTTAAACTTTTCTTGTAATTGCTGGTTGAAGAAACAAAAGTTGCCTTTTATTCAACAAATTAAATAGCTTGATTAAACAAGATCAGCATCTGACAGGCATTTTTGCACATTAGAATTTATGTTCTATAATTCTAGAATCTGATCACCAAGGCATTTAATGATCCAGTATAATTTCTCCTTTACAGGCCATCACATGATGATGCTTTAGAATTTACTGTAACCTCGCTTACTGCACATGAATGATGTTCTGACACATGCAACTTATTCACATAAGCAGAAAAGACTAGCCAGAAAGCAATAGACTATTGTGATGTCTAAAGCAATCCCAGGTTCCTGTTATTTATAAGCCAACAACTACCCTTAGTTTGTTTCTGGTTAAGAGATCTTGGTTTGTTCAAGAGCAGGAAATCATAAATTTGGTTTTGGACATCCCAATACAGCAGGCTTTGCCAGCCTGGTGCCCTGCAGATGTTTTTGGCTAGCTTTCCCAGCATTTCTGAGCATTGGCTATGCTTGCTGGGGGTTACAATCACTAGCTTGTGTAAAACTACAATAAGCTGCCCTTTCCTGGTTGGTGTTACCCACCCAGATGAAGGGAGGAGGGAAGTGGATATGAAAGAGCTGCATGTGTCATTCTTGGGATATCATCATGTGCACATGCAGCCCTGGGTTGCTGGTCAGTCGGGAGCAGCTGACACTCTCTCCCCTCTCCCTGTATAACTTCATGGTTTGCATTCTTACTGTATAATCGTAAGCCTCCAATGGAAAACAAATGTTTTCACATAAAGAACTGATGAATGAGTATTATTAGTCAAACATTTAATTGCTTGTGGCCAAAATTGTTTGGAAAAACTTAGCAACACAGAAATACCTAATACAAGAGATCACTTTTGGAAATACCATTACTAGAAATGTTATCGCTATAAACACCATAAATAAAAAGCAGTCAAAAGATCATAACTAATGTTGAGGTGAACCTTAAGTCAAAGATAAAAAAGAGAATAAGATCATAATTCAATCAAAGCAAAACCATGACAGTTTAGTACCACTTTTGCAATAGATCCCTGCAGCAGCCAGTGGAAAATGGTCGTGCTGTAAGCAGGGCTAGCACCTGCCCCCATTGGGCTCTCAGCTTAGTGTTCCTGCTGGAGGTACTGTTCCCACCCCTCCGCATGGCCTCCAGCCTGCCAGCCAACCCTCACTCTGTTTTTTTTAACCTGACAGGAGGGGCCTGGTTGGAGTGGGGGTGATGGTAATTTCTTTACTCCTCTTTCTCCAATCAGTCAAGCCTGCAGGCACTGCAGAACATGGTTTCAATAGGGGTTTTTTTCCCTTTAACATTTTGAGTAGCACTGATCTGAACCAATCAGACATCACTTTCGAGAGGCATGTGGCCAGTGAGGGCATGGGTGCACTTGGTACCCTCATGGCCATGTGCTTCCCCAAGGGCAGAATCTTCTTTAGATAGCTGCTATTCAAAATGTATGATTTTTTTAAAAACTTGTTAAGTGGTACTGTTGTAGGCTCAGTCACAGGCTTCCTTTGCTAGCAGAAGTAGCAAGGAAGTTCAAGAAGGGGGGAAGGCAGCAGCTAGAGCCCATTTGAGAAAAGAAATGAGCCCTTCTGAGCCCAGTGCCAACCCAACAGTAGGGCCTGTCTATAAGTCACAACAGTTGACAGTGGATTTTCTGCAATCGTTTATGCATGCAGTCCCAATAAAAGTTCCAAAAACAGTAAGACGCAATAGAATGTAGTGTGGGAGATGTCTCTCAGCAATTCTGCACAAGCATCTATATAGGACTACAGGAGCACAGTGGGCATTGGTCATGGATCATGGACCAGGGCATTGTCCAAAAACAGCTATGAAAGCTCAGATTAACAAAATAGGTTCTATAATGGTCATTGTTATACTTTCAAAACCAAGTAGAAAAATTTGAGCTTCACATTATTACTCTGTCAGACAATGCACTTTGCTTTAAAAAAAAAAAGCCCTTAGTTGATGTTTACATCTGTGGACAGTTTGATAAGAAATAAAGTAAGATTTTCATAACATCTAAGATCTAAAAGCCCAGTGCTTGCACTTTTATAACAATGTAAAACAGTTTAGAAATTTTTTTTAAAATAGTTAATTATGGCTTTACAGCTGCAGGTCTCAAATTGTAATTTATACACCACCCTGATAATATCATTAAAGCGTTGTCCCATAATAAACAAACTCTGAGAAGTATAATTTGCAAACTGTTGTTACAAATACAACCGTATGAATCTTAAGGGTGAGAGATCAGCCTTGAAATAATGTACTCATTTGAATACATCAACTCATTTGTTGAAGAGCTCGTTTTTTGTTTTTGTTTGGTTATTTTTTACATCTCTTACCCCACTTTTTCTTTTCCTTTAACTGGATTGGATATTATGTGTGCGTCCCCCCACCCCCCGCAACTCCCAGTCTGGCCCAACAAATGGAATGAAACAAAGGGCATCCCCTCACCCTCTTTTTACTGACCCCACATGTATATACAAGGTGGAATGTTTGAATACATGTACAATTTAGAGAATGTACAGAAATTTTATGATTTCCTGATTTTAAATCTGTATGTTCTGAAGAGTACCCGTGAAGGAACCATCCCAGTGTCATGAGAAATACTGCAGTCAACCCTAACATTTCTCAAGGTTTGGTCTCCAAGAGGCTAGACTCTTTGAGAGGAAGGTACAAGTCTATCTCTGACAAGTAAATAAAATGTTGAAAGTTAGGATATCTTTGAAAATTAGGATATCTTGGCTACCACAAAAAAGGCCAAAACATGTTAGCAACCTATTGTCAGTAAGGCCTTAAAGAAATGTAAAATGATCATTTTGGAAGTAGAGTAATATAAAATCTAAATATATTGATAGATATTTAATTTATATAATTTAGTAGTTACAACAAGGCCTTTTTCATTGCAGAATACATGTATGTAGGCATATATTTCTTGATTCAGCTTTATGAGAGCCAATGTAGTGTGGTGGTTAAAGTGCTGTATTGGGCCTTGGGTGATCTGCATTCCAGTCCTCACTCAACCATTATGCCCACTGGGTGGCTTTGAGACAGTCACTGCCTCTCAGCCTAACCTACCTCACAGGGTTGTTGTTGAAAGGATAAATTGGAGAGAACCTTATTGAAGGGCCTTGAGTTCTTTGCAGGAGGAAGAAAGGTGGGGTATAAATACAATGATGTTGTTATTTTCTTTCCACAGAGCTTGACTTCCATGTAGTAAATGCAGCAATGGCTTTGGATTTAACATTTTCCATACTGTGTGAACTACTGCAGCTGTGGAAGCAGACTGGTGCTGGGATCTCAATCATAGTAGAGTGGCTGTTAGAAATGGAACATTTACAAGATAGAGAGCCTTCAACCTTGGTAACTCAACTAACCAGTGTTTGTCTTATAGTTAGATTGTTCTGTTCCCAGTGCACTCAGTGGACTTTTTACAGGATTTCCTACAAAGTATAGCAAGCCATTCTTTTAGAATATGGAATGGCTTTAAAGCAAATGTTTACATTAAAATCTATTACTTAAAAATGAATCACCAGATTTTTAACATGGATGTAGTATGACTTGAATCACTGTATCATTCATTTGTGAATGCAAATAATGTGCAGTCTTGGATGTCCAGAAGGCAATTATGGCTTATTGGCCTGAGAACAAGCTGCATGCCTGTATCCCCTCCTTCCTCCCCTTACATATCTGGAGCAGGATCCAGTATTGCTCATCCGTGTACAGCCAGCTGTGCTGATCCCATTGCACTGCTTGTGCAAGCGCATTTCATTGAGAGGAGGTGCCTTTTTCTGGAAAAGGGCAGGTCACTGGAGCCCTTCTGAGCAAGCCTGTTCTGCCTCCTTCCAAGCAGACCAAGACAAAAGGCTTTCTAGCTCGAGACTTTATTTTAATGTTAAAGCTGACAGCTAGGCTGACTCCGTGCTAAGAAAGAAAAGTAGTGAAGTAAGTAGCAAAAAACACAGGCAAAATTAGGATACCTGCCAGTAGGAAAATGCGGCTTGATACAAAGTTGATTTCAAAGTGGATATCTCTTTTTTTAAACCAAAAAGAGGTGGCCACATCTTCAAGCTGCTCCCTATAGGCCAATAAGTGGGAATGTGCATCGTCATTCCATTGGTCCATCTTATCCATCCTAATTGGATTAATGATATTTAATCCCACCTAATTTATCTCTGGGGGCAACAGCCTTGACATTTCTACTGTGAATTCCCACCTTGTCTCTTCTTTCACTTTTGAATCAGTATCTGAATCAACAACCTTTGAAGTTGCTCCAGCCTGTCCCATTCTAGCAACTGTTCATTTCAGGTTGCCCCCAGAAGCACTAATTCAGTGAAGCTGGCTGCATGTGGGTAGTTACTTTTGGACTCTGCCCTGGATTGTGGTGTTTCTGTTTTGACTGGCATTTCTATCCTGACTTGCTCAGCCATAGTTTTCTGGTCCAGATATCATGGAAACTTGGAGTTTAACCAGCCTGGATAGAACCTCAGGGCAAGGAATGAAAATGGAGGAACACAATTTATTACCAAAAGCATACAAGACATACCACAGTTTATTGCCCCAAGATTGTTAAATCTGAACAGGGCCTAATAAGTTTCATATTAATAAATCTCACAACATTTATCAGTCATGTACTGTTACTCTGGGGTGAATATGTAATAATTCGTTGTAGGAATCAGAGGTCTGTCTTAACTCCCCCTACCCCTGCTGGCACAGAGGAAAACATGGCAGTTGCTCTCTAAGGTCAAGAGAGAACCCTTGGACATGGAGAAAAGGTGACATTTTGGTGCAAGGGGAGAAAACTGGGGAAGTTAGGGCATGACCTATCCTGATGCCTCTCCAACTTCCATTCTTCCCCTTCAAATGTTCCATGTAGATGGGCATAAAAAGCTTGTCTTGAGAAATATACCAGGCAAGAGGGTGCAATTCTCTTAACTGCTTCTTCAACCTGTATAGGATGATTTGCAAGCTTCCAAGCTCATGGGCTTACAGGCATTGCAGTATGGTTGCAGCTTGTCTTTATAAAGCATTTCACATACATAATCCATTATCAGCAATAAATTGTCTTAAATGTCAGAAGGGAATTTATGCATAAGGTGTTATCTAAGCTATTCAGAGTTTGTATTTTAACAAAAGAATGAACATACTAGAATAAATATGGCTCATGAAATTTATATTCTAAAACATTACAAAGCAATTTTCAGTTATTTGGTCCTCGTATGCTCATATATAATACCTATATTTCATTAAAATAACTAATTCCCATATTCTAGGAAAAAATATTTAATGGTGGATGGATAAAGAATGCTGTTTTACTCTCTTTTACCCTTGTTTTTGCAAACAATCACAACTATTTTCTTTTAATATTTCATGATGTGGTGTTTCATTTAGTTTGTGAAACCTGGCAGAGACATAGGAGAACCCAACCTTGGGTTTCTTCACTTTTTTCCTTAAACAAATGAACAGACTCAGACAAAAAGAAAAAGCATCCATTTTTCATGGTTATGGGTAGTAACTAACTATGTCATTCCACTCACGCAAACAATGTTGCACTAATAGAAACAAGGTAAAAACGTGTGTGTGACAGTCCAACTTAAACATTTGTGCAAGTGCTTGCACAGGGGAGACTGGATGAAGTTCCACTAGTACTATTTGTCTTTCCAGACTTATGCCCTGGGTATTCCCCTATGCATGCTTCACAAGCTGCTGCATTTTGTCAGAATAAATGTGTCTGTATCATGACTTTCAATCATCTTTCACTTAGGGGTGTTTGACACAATTTTTCCACCTGTAATTTCTTTACTACCAGAAGCACATACAAAGCATGGTAAAAGTTCATATTAATTTATGCACACGCCATTTTCTACAAAAACATGTCTTATCACTTAGATACATCCAGTGTAATAACAGTATGTGCAGAAATTATTGATTTTTTAGGGTACAGTCTGAAATAGACTCACCAAGGAATAGTGAATACACTGGAAGTTGCACATACAGTTGTGCCGCTAACTGAAGGGGTTTTTGCAGCAGGGGTGTTTCTAATGTGTCGTCTGAACAATCTCCCACAGTGCTGTCAGTACATTTATCTCTGCTTTGTTTTTTTCTTGAGGTGGGAAGCGACTATCTCTTTGACAAAGGACAAGTGAATTTTTGGGCTGAGGAACTAACCATGGTGCATCAGCTCAGTAAACACCTCCTGCAGCTTATACCGGTGACCCATGTCTGTCCATGCGATCAAAAGAATCTTCATCGGTTGTCAAGCTTAGCATCTGATCAAGCCAAATTTGTGAAGCAGCTTCTTAAGGAAATGCCTCCAACTCCAGAATTTTCCCAGTCAATAGAATTCACAAAGTTAGCTATTCAAAATGAAAGAATATCCATTTGCTTAAAAATATTAAGCTTGCTTGGAGTTGGAAAGGATACTTGAAAACACAGCTAGGAATCATTTGCTCACTGCTGCTTGTTGCTTAACTACATTGTGAACATCAAAACTGGTCCATTTACTTTGCACATCATACACATGCAAGGAACTATAGCAGCAATTGTTACCTCATACTTGAATTAATTGAATCTTCATGAAGTACACCATGGAAGACAGCTTCTCTGAATGCACTCATTTTCAGTCTCATTTATAAAAGCAAGATTTTGTTGCAGCTGATATAGGAAATAAAACTATCTAATTGTTTCTTTCAATGCACTAGGTATTCAGCAACCTGCTCTTCTAATTGCTGATGTTACAGTATCAGTTGTTCTTCCTGTTCTTTGATGGTGCAGTCCTTGACTACTTTCTTAATTATGTACCAGGATCTGTGTATGAGCAAATGTACCTAATTGTGTGTCATGTGTTTTAAAAGATCTCTACAATAAGCAATGGTGACACTTAGCCTTGCCAGTGAGATTCTTAACTTAATTCTATTTTTAATCATGGTTGACTGGATGGGCTGGGTTTCTTGGAAGGATTCTTCCCTTCTTGTAAGCCACATGTAACCACTTGATTACCTTTATAGCTGAAGCAATTCAATTTTGGAATGCTATCCTTTTTACTTTTTCAGCTCTTAAGTATGTTACTAACTTTCAGCATAATTCAGCAAGTAAGGCTACTATTACTTGTCAGAACTGAAACAGCTGAATACTATAGGGGTTTGACCAGCACAATAAGTTCCCATTTTAAACATTCATCAGTAAGGTTTACATCTTACAAATGTTCTTTTGATATAAAGTATGGTTGACTGTAACCTCTTTGTACATAATGTACTTTGCTATTATTTTTACATTAAATGTGTTGCACCAAGTTATATTGCCTAACTGAAAATAAAATACCATGTTATGAGTGGAGCCAGGGGGTCAGACTAGATGGCCTGGGAGATCCCTTCTGACTCATTCTCTCTGTTTCTAAAATGTTTATATTTGTTAGCAATGCTACAGGAGATTAGGGAACTTTTTCACCTGCTACTCATGAAGTATGGCATGAAAGACAGCTTTCTTAAAGAAGAGATAAAGCACTGAATTCAGGTTTGTCAGTCATATTTAGCATAGGCTCATTACAAGTCAAAGAACCTAAGTTAGTCCCACTGAGTTTTGTATCTCTACTCCATATATGACTTAATCTGGAACTAACTCATTATTTATATAGCATATACTGATGAATATCAAGATACCAGTTCCAGTTGTGAAATACTGTGTTATGACTGTGAGTCAGTTTCATGTATCACAAAGGTGACCCAACACCCAAGGCTGTTTCGGTGTTTTGCTTTTGTATTATTGGTTCTATGTGACAACTTCCTGAAATGCTATTTTGGTATTCTAATAAACCAGTAGGTGGCACCATACTACACATTTTATTGCAAAACCATTTCATCAACCAAAGTTCCCTTATGCACAAGGTAACTAAATAGTTTGCACAAATTTTTCATGAGTAATGCAACTTCAGTAAATTTGTCTAACGCAGTAGTTGCATTCCTATTTTTTTTCCTTTTTAAAGTGTTGTTTTAATCACATACACTGTAAAAATGGTGGTCAATGCTGAAGGAAAATAGGTCTATTTTCAGTTTTTTACCAAATGATAATGCCTTACTTGGTTATGTATTAATATAAAAATTTAGGAAAATAATTGTAATATGTTCACTTAAACTGAATTATGGAAGTATAATTAACAAAGGATATTGCTGCGAATTGTCAATTCAAAAATCATATAATGACATTTAACATTTTATTTGTGTCATTTAATATCCCTGGCTAATTTATATATTATTCTGTGAACTTTAAACTTTCATATAATTGGCAAACCTTTCCTGCACTTGGTGTTGTAAACAAATGAGAAACAGCACATTGGTTTTCAGCTTAAGTAGCATTAAAGACCTCAAGAAATATGGTTAATTAGTAAACAAAATAACTTAAGAAACAAAGGAACAGCCTTATCACTGTGTTATAGCTTTAACTGGTATAACATCCCTTTAGTTTATGAATAGCAAACAATTGTACATAAACTTGTATGCATTTCGTCACACCATGAGTTACTGTATAACTTTTCAATCAGAAACCTTTAAACCTTTAAGAGCAGCTGTAAAAGAACAAAAGTCTACTACTGAATAGCTCTCTGTAGAGGGTTTAATTAGTCAGTTATCTTTAAATATTGGTTGTCCAACTGTTGAAGTCAGATTGCTCTTTGCTTGACTGCCCCCCCCCACGTGTACGTGAAACCACTGCTTAAGGCAAAGTAATTCTTTTCCTTGCCCTGCCTCTACTCCAAATCAGCTCAACTATCCAACTGAAAACAGCTTTTCTAAAGCCTGCATTAGGACTGCCTCCTTATAACTGCAGTCCAGTATACATTTACCTGAATGGAAATGCCAATAAACCCAACGGGACTTACTGCAAGGGGCAGATATGTATGGCTTTATGCAGTTCAACAGGGAAGAAAGAACGTTTTGAGCTTTGCTGTGCTTATTACAGAAAGCGAAGTGATGATGCTGGGACGTCATTCAGCATTTGATAACAGTACATCAGTAAAGTCCATTGCCGGGGGTGGGGGGGCGGCGAGGGATGACGCCTTTTGTCTTTTAAGCTTGGAAATAAAGGCTAAGCCCAAGATTCCCGTTCCCCAGCTCTCTGAAGGAAGCCTCAGTTCCTTTTACAGGATGCAGGCACTAGGGGGTGTCGCCTCCTTCAGGAACTATTTCTGGCCTGGGTGTCAGCTTGTCACGTCCACCTCTGGGTTAGCAATGCAGCTGCAGCCGCAGCCTCAAAGCGGTGCCAAGTAGATTAGCTCAAAAGGTGAGCGCGGGGGTTCAGCGATTGCTCTGTGCCGACAACCGCTTGGGGAGCTCGCACCACTGCGGCGGCGTGTTTGTTCCGTCCCTCACAGGCGTAGGCAGGACTTTTGTTTAAACTCCCCCTTTCTTGGTTAGCGCGGCCCAGCTCTCCCAACCTTTGGCCGCCTCCGCAGAGCGACCTCTCACTTTGTTTTGCAGACGGCGGCGAGGGCATTTCAGCCGCGGGAGTTGCTCGAAATGCGCCTCCCTTCCCACCCGCAAGAGCAAGGAGCTTTCGGCGGGAGAGCTTCTGGCCGAGAAGACGAGCCACGCCTGAAACTGCGAGAAGCGACCTAGTTGCCCCTTCCCCCTGCACGCACGCACAAGGGAAGGAAGAGGGAGATAGGCACCAAATGGACGTGGCTGGAGCCGCTTAGATGCGAAAAACCTGGCCTAAGTGCCTTGAAGACGGGGCAGCTTCGCCACCGAGGCGCCCCTAGGTTGGGAGAGTTTCGCCTCTAGGCCTCCTCCAAAAGCACGAGCTTGAAAGGAAGCAGCAGCCGAGGGAGAAAGTAAGAGCGGGCCGGCATCTCCCTTCCCCACTTAATCTCGCGATTTTGCTACGGTTAGCAAACGCAAGTATCCAGCCTCTCGGGCGCGCTCCTGTTCAGGCCAAGCGCTGAACGGGAGCGAGCCCCCTACCCTGCCCAGTCCTGTCCGGCCTTCCTCTGGACTGCACTGCATTGATCTCAGTCGGATTCATTAGTGAAAGGGCGTAGAACCGAGCTTGTGCAAAGAGAATGAAGTTGGAGAACTTTTGAGCGTTTCGCTTTGCACACTGATACGAGGGGGGAGTAAAAAGCCTTTGCCCGGTTAATTTTAAAAAATGGGGCGAAGTTGTTAGTCTTCGGTGATGAAGAGCTCAAAATTATAGAAGTTGCGATGGTAGCTCGTAGTCCACGGAGGAAGAAAAGCCTTAACTTCCTCCTTAAAGAGCGCACTGGGACTTGGATACGAATAATTAGGATTGCACTGCACGTCTCCCTGAAATTCAGCAGTACTTACTCCGCAAGCACCCCCTCCCTCACACGCGCGGATCGGTCCGCAGAGTTCCCTGGATGCAAATTCCAAGCCACCGGCTTGAATTCATTAATCTGTGGAGAACTTAATAGACGGTGTAGCGAATTTGTGGAGTGGAGCAGCGGCCGTATGACTAGCAGCAGAACGCCTTTTCCCCTCTCCTTTGGCGGGCGGCCAAGATCCAGGAGGGGTGGGGCTGACAAGGCAGGCGAGTGCCTGTGCGCGGGCCCGCAGCTGCGCCGCGTCAGCCGGACCCTTCCTTTCACTTGCTAGGCACAGCGGTGCGCCTTGGCGGGCCGAGCGGGGGGGGGGCGGGTCAAAGGACGAGGAGCTGGCTGAGCCAATCGTATCACAAGACCCAGGGCGGCTGCCAAGTCTGTGTATTCAGTCGCGGGGCGGTCGCACGGGCTGGCGACGGGGGAAAACCCCTTCTCTCGAGCGAAGATGAACCCAGTGGCTGGGGAGTTAACACTCCCCGATTTCACCAAATCGGTACACCCCGTCCACTTGCACGGGAAGCGCAACCCGCTCGTATGCCTTTTGTTTCCCAAACCTGTTGCGTGGCACAAGGTTCCTTGGAGGGAGGGAGGGAGGGAGGAAGAGGAGGGGTTGCAGGGGCGTCCCATTTCACTCGCAGGCCCTTTGATGCCTCATCTGTTTCATAGCGAGCTTCCCAAACGACTCAGCGGGGGTGTGAAACTGGCAGGAAAGCCTTATGCCAGCCAGTGTTTACTTGGAAACTTCCGAGACGAGCAAGGAGCAAGGCGGGCTTTAGTGCAAAGCGGTTGCTTGATCGTCTATAGTGCAGACTGCACAGATGGAAAGAAATGCAGCCGTGTGGAGCGGGGGGACCGATCAGGAGGGGGTCTCTGTGCGCATCAATCTTGTCGCGGGTGCAGTCGTATGCCGTTATACCGCCTGCCTCCCTTACAGTGCATGGTGCAGCCGAAAAACACCTTTAGGACATTTTAGACAGGAATTAACCAATATACACAACTAATTAAAGACTTAAACTTTCCTCATTTGCCTAAGTGTTCCAAGCACTATGCACACCGAGACTTTGCGAGCCTACTCGGATGATGCAGATTCCAGCATGATTCACGTGTCATTTGTGTGTGCACAAGATCGCAGCCCTAAGTGCAGGAAGGTGCCGTGTAATTATTTTCTCTCTCGTGCGTCTGTGCGCGCTCCCGCGCACTAGCAGGTGCTGCAACGGCGCTGCATTCTTGAGCAAGCCTCGTTTACCAGTGGTTAACCTCATGGGAGTTTCCCAAGCACGTGGCGTTACTGCAAGCCTCGTGGAAACTGGGCCGCCCTTATAACGAGGCTATTGTATTATGCAATGCATTGTGCAAAATGCCAAAATCTATAGGATGTCTGCCCTAGACTATATTCTACAGAGAAAAGTAACCTTATACCCAGACTGCATATACGGACAACGCATGCAGAGAGGGAACAGTGCCTTCTCTATGTGAATCAACAAGCCTCTAGCGTGTGCCTAGTACCAGCAAGGACGGGGCTGGGGAAAGGCGGGGGGGAGAGAGCGAGAGCCGCTGCTCCGCACAGCCTTAATACTTCCCTTCGTTACCACAACCGTTCCAGAGATCCCCGCTTCTCTGTTCTAGATCAACTCTGCAAGTGGCCGCGCCTCTCGGTGATCCGAGCCAGCGAAAGAAAATTGGCGGCGTCCAATGAGGGACCGTAGACAGAAAGGGGCGGAACGAGGCGAGGTGGGTGGGGAAACCGCTGGGTGGTGTTGCTGGGAGACCCCGGTCGGGTCAGTACTCGGTCCCTCCCCGTGCCTATCCTGCGTTTATATATGGGGCGTGTACGCCCGCCACGAAGTTCCAGCGGTCTAGATTACTGCGGCCGCCGCTTTGGCTGGGTACCCGCTCTCCCACCTCTGCTGGGAAATTGACTATTTCAGATCTCAAGCAATCAGCCCTTTCCTATCCAGTCGTGGCTCATCCAAAGCTTCCGAGGAAAGTGGGATCTTTCGGTCCTTCCTGCATTTCCGACCATTACAGGATCTAGAAATGTCTACAACACTCTTATCTGCCTTCTACGACATAGACTTCTTCTGTAAGGTAAGTGAAAGGCATTCTGCTAGGTATTTGGAGTAGTTGTGAAAAGTTTTGAAGCAAAACTAGTTAACAAAAAGACACCCCCACCAAACAATTAGTGTTGCAAAATGCTGTGCAGATTTACTTAGGAGTAAATCGGGCTGGACTCGGTGGGACTACACTTTGTAGTAACAGTAACCTCGCACAGTTGTAGATTTGTGTTGTGCAACAAGTTGTGAGAGAAGCAAAAACTCTGAGTAACTTTTCCCAGTGAACCTGCTGCTGTCTACTTTTGAAGTCTAGTACTGAACTTCACGCGGGATGTGTAATTTGCACTCTTGCTTTGTAATGGGGCGGAAAGTGTTTCTGGTAACAGCACAGAAGAGTATGCTGCAACGAATTTTAATTCGGTTGCAGCATGTGGAGTGATCCTAAGCAGCTGCCTTCCCTCCCCCCTTTATTTCAGCGTGCTTGTGTGGTGGGTGTGTTTTAAACTAAAATGCAAGCTCCAGCTGTACGGAGTTGGAACTCTTTAAGTGCAGAGGCCCCACTGACTTGAGTGGGAGGGGTTTCAGACCACCCCTCGAAAAGTTTTAAATTGCAGATAGCTGCTTGGACCAGGAGGGAGTCTTGACAACCAGACACATGGCTCAGCGAATGCAGCTAGCAGGGAGAGGCCCTTGTGGTTCGTGCAATCGCAGGGCGTGCTGAGGAGTTGCGAGCTGCTTTTCCTTCCACGGTGCATCAATTTTTCTCCTCTCCTCTTTGCTTCCCCTCACTCCTTTCTTAACCCTTCTGGCCTCGCAGACGGAGAAATCCCTGAGTAGTATGCTGGACAAGAAGGCAGTGGGGAGCCCGGTGGGCACCTCTCCCAGCTCTAACTTTGCGCCGGGCTTTCTGCGGAGACACTCAACCAGCAACCTGCAGACTCTAGCGAACGGCAACGCCAAGTTCCCGAGTGGCTCTTCGCCCTCGCCCTCTTCTTTCGGCAACCTCAAGGAGCCTGGCACCGGAGGAGGAGGGAGCAGCAGCCCCACCACCGCCTTGTTGAACAAGGAGAACAAGTTCCGAGACCGCTCCTTCAGCGAGAATGGCGAGCGAAGCCAACACCTCATGCAGCAGCTCCAGCAGCAGCAAGTGGTGGTTGTGCCTTCGGCGGGGAAGGGCGGCGGCGGCGGCGGCGCGAACGGAGGCGGCGGCGGAGGGGCGCCCATCAACTCGACGCGCTACAAGACGGAGCTGTGCCGGCCGTTCGAGGAGAGCGGCGCCTGCAAGTACGGCGAGAAGTGCCAGTTCGCCCACGGTTTCCACGAGCTGCGCAGCCTGACGCGCCACCCCAAGTACAAGACAGAGCTGTGCCGCACTTTCCACACCATCGGTTTCTGCCCTTACGGGCCCCGCTGCCATTTCATCCACAACGCGGACGAGCGCCGCCCAGCGCCCTCCAACGGCAGCGCCAACCCCCCGCCGCCTCAGCCGCCGCCGCCGCACCAGCCCAACCCTCAGCCCCACAGCGGCGGCCACCACCACCACCCGCTGCACCCTCCTCACGCGGGCAGCACCGGGGACCTCCGCGCCTTCGCCCCCTCCGCCCGGGAGCACCCGCTGGGGGGCGGCGGCGGGGGCGGCTTTGGAGTCGCTCCCCCGCGAGCCGGAGGGGACAGGCCCAAGCTTCACCATAGCCTGAGCTTTTCCGGCTTCTCCGCCCACCACCACCACCACCATCACGGCGGGGCAGTAGCCGCTTCGGGCGGCCTGGAGGCGGCGGCCGCGGCGGCGGCGGCGGCCGCCCTGCTGCTGGAGAGCCCCGGCGGGTCGCGCACCCCTCCGCCGCAGCCCCCCGCCTCGGCGGGCTCGTACAGCGACGACCTGGTGGCCTCGCCGTCCTGCGCCAACAACGCCTTCGCTTTCTCGGCGGGCCAGGAGCTGGGCAGCCTCATCGCGCCGCTCGCCATTCACCCGCCGCCGCAGCAGGGCTGCTTCCCCAGCGCGGCCACCTTCTACCGCTGTCACCAGCAGCAAGGCGGCCCGGGAGGAGGGACCTGCTGCCCGCCGCCCGGCCCGCCCGCCTCGCCGCCTTTCAGCTTCCAGCCCCTGCGCCGCCTCTCCGAGTCGCCCGTCTTCGACGCGCCCCCGAGCCCTCCGGATTCGCTCTCCGACCGGGAGAGTTACTTGAGCGGTTCCCTGAGCTCCGGCAGCCTCAGCGGATCAGAGTCCCCCAGCCTGGATTCCGGCCGGCGCCTGCCTATTTTCAGCCGCCTCTCGATCTCCGACGACTAGGAAGGCAGGAGGTGAAAGCCGCGGGGCGGGGCGGGGAGGAGCTGCCTTCCCCCAGCTGTCTTTGGGGACCCCGTTATTTTGAGCGTCCCCGTTTCTTCCCTGAGCTTTCTTTCCCCACCTTAACCAGGAGCAGAGACTGTAGCCGCCTCCGAAAAACTAGCCAAGCTCGCACATCACCCCCTCCCCTGCTTTTTGGCCTTTTTGCCTGCCCCGCCCTTCCCATCTTTTTCAGTGTATGCTTCTTTTGGAGAGTCGAGTCCTTTGATTGCTGAGCAAATGCAGAGGAGAGAGCAAAAAAACTTTTCTCTTTTATCAAGGGATGAACAAAAGAAATCAGTTTGCAGAGGGGCAAATGATGGCGTCAACAGAACAATCTTATTTCCTTTCATATCTAAGAGACTTGCAACGAGAGGGTTTCCTCTTTTCCCCGTTTTTTCCTCCCCTCCCCTTGGTTTTGAGACTAGGTTAAACAAGCACCAGCAGCAGCCATTCCATCTTCAAGTGTGGGGAGGGGAGGAGACAGGGTAAAGCGAGCATTAGCAAACAAATCTACCCAATCCTTCTCCCCCAGGAATCAAGAATCAATCTGGAGGCCCATGAACTCTGCATTCCAGGCCCCTCCAGAGCTGTGTACAAGAAAAATAAGGAGTGTGGGTTTTTGCCTTTCAATCAAATTTAAAGTAAATATACTAAATGTATAAGCTTTTAAAAGAAAAATCCAACATCCTGCCAAGAATATGCCTTGATAACACTCTAGTTTTTTTTATATATCTATATATATTATAACATGCTAAAACTTCCATTCCAAAGTTTAATATTGGTTCCATTGCCACCACTTAGTGGATGTTTGGCTTAGAACAATTTTTGTTGCTTTATGTGGAAGCATTCAACTGAGTTTAGTTCGTAATTGTTGGCGAATAACTGCTGATTTTTTAATTTTTTAGCTGAGTTGATTGCGCAAGTCACTGCACAACTCAATATGAAACTATTTAACTTATTTATTATCTTGTGAAAAGTATACATTGGTAATTTGTTCATACTGTATTTATCGGGTATGATGAAAAGCAATAGATATATATTCTTTTATTATGTTTAAATTATGATTGCCATTATTAATCGGCAAAATGTGGAGTGTGTTCTTTTCACAGTAATATATGCCTTTTTGTAACTTCACTTGGTTATTTTATTGTAAATGAGTAAAATTCTTAATTTAAGAGATTGTATGTAATATTTATTTCATTAATTTCTTTCCTTGTTTACGTAAATTGAAAGATTGCATTGGCTTTTTTATAGAAATCTGACTCAATGCTGTGGAAGTAGTTTGAGAAATTTCAATGGGTTTTTAGAATGTACAATGGTTGTAACCCGTCCAAGCTTAAACCTACTTTGCAATCAGAATTTAAAGTGGCAAACCTAATTCAGACTTTTAAAATTAACCAAAAAGTATTCATGTTGCCTAACTTCACCAATCACACTGTGATAGTTTCAAAGTATGTAGCAATAATGAGGGTGGGGGGTGGGGTCCCAGTATTATGTCTCACAGTGCCTTCATAAGGGTCCATGCTTGCCTTAAATCTTCCTCAACCAAATAAGTATTTTTCTTAATGCTTGAGAATTTGAATGTAGGGCTGGGTTTTTAACTACAAGAAATTGTACCACTCATTTTTATAAAGAGGCCCACTTTTGGATCCGAATCTTTTGCGAACATGAGCATATCTTCTTTGGAAGTTCCAAAACATGTAACTTCTTTTTCTTATTTAGAAAGTCAGGAGTTAATCCAAAACTTTCCTGGAGGGTGGATGAATGAGCAGTACCTTTTTATGTACATAGGTACAGGTTCAGCACTATGTACTCTTTGGACTACTTTAACAGAAGTATGTTTTGAATGTAACTAGAAGATAAGTCAACTTGAGTTGTAATATATTTTGGAGAGTCAGTTCACTACAAATTTGGAGTGTGAGACTGTAAACTTTGTACTGTAAATGTTTTGTAGTTCTCCCAATAAAACTTTTGAGGAAAAAAATCCCAAACTATTAAAGCCATGTCTGCAAGGTGGTACTTCTTTATTAGTTTTCCCCTATCAGTGTGGTGTCTAGCTACAGATTAACCTGGTTTTGAACTGCAGAATTGCTCCATTCCTGCAGAAATAGCTGGGAGGCTGCCAAAACCAATAAACTGTGTTCCAGAAGGTTCCAAGGTACTATTGCAAAAACTACACACAGTCCTGCATACATCGACCTTGTGGGTGGGGGAGAAGAGATTTAGAAAAGAGAAGTAGTTTCTTGGAGATCTTTACAGCTGTTAAGATATGACCAACTTGTTAATACACAGCAAGTCAATATGTACTTACGTGTATTCACATACTGTTTTTCCTGGGGAATCCAAAGGGTGTATCATGCTTGCCAACTAAGAGGAAATGGTAAAGAAAGAATGCTGAAACAAAAATAGGCACCCCCTTCTACATGTTTTTCTTGTAACTGTGAATGTAAACTTAATAGTGTTAAGGGGATTAACACTGCAATCTTGTATTCCACTGCTGGGAAGTAAGTGCCCTTGGTTTCAGCAGGACTTGGGTAAGTGTGTGTAGGATTGTGCCTTGAGGCAGAGCACATGCCTGATTTAAAAGCTTTACTATTCTAAAGTTTGCCTGCAAATAGAAGATAATCCTGTAAGGTTGTATGGTAACACCTGGGGTGAAATCCAACATGGGTTGTACTTGGAAAGGGCCTATTGAAGCAAATGGAATTTAAGTTAAACAGTAGCCAAGGATGCAATCCCATGAATGCTTAGGTAGAAGTCTGGCTCCCAGCATTCCCCAGCAAGTATGGCTACTTGGGAAAGACTGGGAATTAAAGGACTTCCATCTGTCTAAACATGCATAGGCTTGGTCTTTTAAGTAATGTTCATTTCAGTGGGACTAAGTGGGACTTAACCCTGATTTTCTGTACACAAGGAGCTCTATGTAAATAAGAGTTAAATTGAACCTGCTAAAGACCCATTTTTATTCAGTGATTCAATACAAATGGGTTTCATTAGTAGTTGTGCAACTTTTTTGCTATACCTGAAAAATGTTTTTGAACTTGCTTTGTTCTGCCTTCTAATCTAGGTATGTGGAAGGCTATTCGTTCGCTTATCAGTTCTATTAATGTGTTTTAGCAAACTTTCAAAATGCATTTGTTTTGCAAGTGTTATCGTTGGCCATAAAGCTGCAAGTGTGACTTCTATAACCACTAGCTGTAATACAGTACTGCTATCTTGTATTAGTTCCAAAACTGACAGTATTGAGATTAATATCAAGAGCTCAAACACGATTATATCTCATCTGCAGAAAAAAGAGCTCCCATTATTTCAGACTCAGACTTAAGTGGTTTGTCACTGTGCCTTCTACAGATCAGTATGCTATGATGGTAAATTAGCAGATAATTCTAATAGATACTTTATTGTAGGAGAGCTTGCTGATAGGAAGGAAAGCAAGAAGACTTGCTGTCAAGTAAAACTTGGAGAAAGTGGCACTCTGGTTTGCAACTGGAGTTAACATGCAAAGTATGGATGTTTGTAAAGTGTACCGATTACAGTGAGGCGAATCCCACCCAAACATCTCTTAAAGGCCTGCATGACCCGTGGCCTAATGAGTTGGAACACAGCCATGCATTGAGGGCTGCTTGACAACTCCCTTCAGTCTTTGCTGTCTACCTGAAATGGCAGATTTTTCAGAAGATTGCCCAAAGTAAATGTAGTTACAAGCTGGCAGCCCTGGTCATTTGAGTTTTGGTGAATGTATTCATTCCCTTTCATCTTGTAGGCTAGAGTACAATTGCAACAATGCAGATGCCTGGTATTTGTATAGCACTTTCATGCAGGAGTGGGCGTTTTGGCCTTTGTGTGGTTCCTCATCGTTGTCTATGCTGGTTAAGACTCATGAGAACTCTTAATACAAAAGAGCTTAACATCAGTTGGTTTGCCTTACAACAACCCTGTAAGGTAGGTCAGAGTTAAACTCGGTGAACATCAGCTTTCCCCAGCCTGTTCCTTTCCAAATGTGTTGGATTACAACTCCCAACATCTTCCACCCAGCATTGGGAGAATGAGTAGAAATGGCTTCCTTAACCATATGCTAGTGAAGGCCTAGAAGTGTGAGATTGAACTAGTGACCCTCTTGATTGATAGGTACTAAGTTAGGCCTTTCAAAAAACTTTTTTGCCTTAAGAATTTAACTAGCAGAAATACTGCCTTCTTCCGGTATGCTCCCTTCTTGCACTCTGTTCAGCAACAGGCCTTGAGTGTGAGTCATAGTGCAGTTTCCTGATTGGGATATGAAGCCTGAAAAGCAGCTGCTTCATATTACACCCATTTGGTCTAGAGTTCAGCTATATTTGTGGTGTAAAAAATAGTGGCCAAACTGCAACCTATGCTGCTAAGATACTTTAAAGCCAATTACTAGCTATTCTTACATTGCATTTTATTTGCTTGAGGCGATTGGTATTTTGCTTTCTTTCTAATAACAAATGAAGTAGATAAAACAGGCTGTTTTATGGGTAGGTTCATGTTTCCCTATGGTGAAGCACAGTGAATCAGAGTAATCCACACAACAGTGGCCTGTTTTTGTGCAGAAAGTGGAGATGTTCTGGCTTGGGAACAGACTCTTAGGAATAATTTCATCCCCTATATAGATTATGTAGCCCTGGCTTGGGAACATAACTCCTGCATTTTCTCCCATGTGTAGCAAGAAAAACCTACCCTTGTATGACAACTATCCAAATCTGCGGGGACTGAAAGATATTTTAACCCTGGACTTAATGTTAAATATGATGATTGCTTTTCAAAAATACATGTTTGTGAAGAAACACATTGATTACTGCTGTGAAACATTTACTGACATTAGCACACTCCTGCTGTAGCTCTGGAACATTAGTTAAATGGCTAAGGCTACAGAGAAAAAGGAATGTGTTGCTTTCCCAAAAGTGAATGCATATGCTGGCCATCCTAGTGCAAGCATGCATGTGCAACCACTCAGTGCTACCTCCTTGTGTCAAAAATTTGGCATTATAGCATGCTAATAACATTCAGTATAAACTTAAGAGCCATAATCTATTCCATCAAATGCATGAAGTGTTACAGAGAATTTTGGGTATGCTACTTCCATGGGCATCCCAGGAAGCCTGCCAGGGACATGAAGTGATACAGAAATCCTATCTTGGGCTTATGCAGAAGATCCTTTAAGCCAGAAGTGCTGAACTTGTAGGCTAAAACATTTGGAGGGATACAACACTTAGCAGCCCTAGGTAGCTTAACCAATAGGGATGGTGGAGTTGTAGACCCTAATATTTGAAAAGCTGAGAGTTGACTACTGCTTTGAGCTATGAGGGGTTCTGTCCTGTGGGGGAAAAGTAAAACTGAAAACACAGTTTGGAGAACAAAACCTGGGTTATTGATAGATTTGGTATCTTCCCTTTCTTCCACTGAACTCAAGACCATGTTCATAGGGTTTCCAAGCTTCTACCCATGCACAAAACCCTATTCATGACACATTCTCCCAGTCACAAGAAGAAGTGTTCTGTTAGTAAATTATCAGTAAATTATTATAGACGGCTGCTTGGACCTAAACAGTTACTTTGCTGGAAGGCAATGTTCAAAATGTGTCCAGAAAAAAGCAATAGTAAAATATGAAATAGAATGTAGCTGAAGTACAGCTATATGTATAAAATACACAGCTGTGTTGAAGTTCTCAGCTTTGTTGCTTGTCAGGCCCTCCTATTAAAAGAGGCAGCCATGGGCTCAGTGGACAAGTATTCTCCAGTATTATGCAACTTGCTATGTGCATATGTGGTATACAGACCTTAGGCCCATTGGGCAACAGCTAATCTCAAAATGGAAAGCATGCTCATTCTGTCAGGGCCCCATTCCATGACACTATGTGGTTTCAGAGTAACAGGTCTCATCTGCAGCAGCCAACTTTAAATTGCTGATTCCTTTCAGTGCCACTTCTGTGTATTTTGCTGCTCAGGGACAGTAAGATACAAGGCTAAAACTCAGGGACAGGGTACAGGCTGTGTGCATGGAGCCAGCATTTTCCTATTCTGCTCCAGAGGATTTTGGAATCAAAGATTTGTCACAAGACTATTAACGGTGGACACACTTCCAAAAGGATAATCGGCCTACCACTAAGAGTCTCCTAAATGTACACCTTTCAAGAGTAGCTGGGGTGCACTACATTAGAATTAAGCAGCATGAAGATGAGGTTCATTTGTAATAGATTTGTAAGGATACTGACTCACAAAAATGTATGAGTCACACAGCAAGAACACAGCTCTCTTCCCCAGCTGGTCTTGTGCTAACTCCCTATTTCTCAGCTTGCTTGTAAATTATGAGTACTAGTATGAGTACCTTTATGAGTTCCTGTATGTATCTCTGCTGGCCACCTTTATGTTAAAATACCTGTTTAGATGTGCACTTGTTTTTCTTTATGTGTGTTATTCCATGTGTGCCAGTGAAAGCAGTAATTGTGCTAGCTCCTCGAGCCACTGTTTCATAAATACTTCAAATCCCTCCCCATCTCGATCTTGGCTATGAATTCTGGGATGGACAACTTGTGGCCCTCCAGTAGATTTGGGCTACAACTCCCATAATCGTTCACCACTGGTATTCTGGTTAGGACTGATGAGGGTTACAGGCCAACACATTGTGAGCAACGCATGTTGCCCCCCCCGCCCCCACCTCTAGTTAGTAGACTGTAGGGTCCCAGTAAAAATGAAGTAGATCAGGTAGACTGAGATCTCATCCTATTAGGGAAAACTGGGCAGAAAAGAGTTTTCCAGATGTTTTAGACTTCAACTGTCAGATCACTGGCAATGTTAGTAGAGGCTTCTGGGAGTTGGAAGTCCAGAACATCTGGACTGCCTTTGCCCATCCCTACTTTAGGGTATACTATCAGTTCACAGAGAGATGGTAAGGCCCAGGCCTGACTGATGTTCCGCATGCACTGAACATGTTCCTAAGGAACACTTGAAATTTCAGCCATAGCAAAAGCTTCCATGGCAG